CTGCTCGAGGATCCAAGTCCACTGCGAGGAAAACGCTCCTAAAGGAAGCAGTCCTCAGGCGAAAGAGCGGTCCACCGGCCATGTTGGCCTGTTCCCCTTCTTTGACCCCAGTGCAGCAGCCTCAGACTGGGGTAGCGAGCCATCATTACCACCGCTCACCTCCACCGGGTCAGCAGCAGCGCCCAGAGCCAGCCCCTCTCACCGCTCCAGCGTCCCCGAGCACACAGCGTGGGTCGCCTGTAGCTGAGAGTCAGCACCCCCGCTCCTCCTCTCCATGTGTTCAGCGGCGCTCGGGTCCTGCTTCGGGTGAACCCGCTGGTTCCGTCCACCGAGCTCCTTCTCCGAGGCCGCGTCCACGTCCACTCTTCGCCCCGACCACTCTGATTATTGGAGATTCCATCGTGAGACACGTCCGCTTCTTTAACGCGGTCACTCGCTGTATTCCCGGAGCTACTGTACCAGACCTGCTCATACGTCTCCCTCCTCTGCTTCAGTCCCTGCCTGATACCGTTTCCAAGGTAGTCGTGCATGTGGGAATTAACGACATGAAACTTCAGCAGTCAGAAGTCACGAAGAAACATTTTATGGATCTGTTCCACCTCCTTCAATCCACGGGATTATCTGTTTTTATCTCTGGTCCAATCCCGACTGTAAACAGAGGTGACTGCCTCTACAGTCGTGTTGTGGCGCTGCATATGTGGATCCAGGCTACATGCAGCTCTTTTAACTTTGTCTTTGTGAATAACTTTGCCCTTTTCTGGAAACGTAACGAAGCCTATCGTCCAGACGGATTACACCCAAACAGATACGGTAGCAGCCTGTTGATGGGCTACATGCGTTACGTTGTTCAGCGTTCCCCGAGGGGGGCGTGACTGTTTACATCTGAGCCCCCTCGGACCCCACCGCACTCCCCCGCCTCCTGCTCACCAGCACCGGGTGAGTACAACGGTGCAAACACTGCTCCCTGTCCGTCTGGCAGTGCATTACCAGTCCAAACACTGAACTGTGCTGACTCCCTTCTGACTCTGGGAGCTAAAGAACAACAAGGGTTTTCACATTTTAGTCCAATTGAGACTGTGTGTGTTCCTCGCACCAGCTCAAAAATGTTTTTAAATTCTAAAAAACGAAATCAAAACAGGACAGCAGTTAGACGGTCCAACTCTGCAAATCTAATTTCTGTTCCCTGTAGAAATCAATCAACCACATTAATCGACTCTGACGTTATTTTTAAACTTGCTATGCTTAATGTCAGATCTCTATGTAACAAATCATTTTTAATTAATAATTTTATCACTTCTTATGATCTTGATTTTATGCTTATGGCTGAAACATGGCTGGACCAAAATACAGGAAATGCAGTTCTAATAGAAGCAACACCACCCAATTTTAAATTCGAATCCGAAGTACGAGAAAACAAAAGGGGGGGAGGCATAGCTGCAGTTTTTAGAGAGCACTTTGTCTCCCATAGAATGCCCCTTGGAAATTTTTCATCGTTTGAGTATATTTCTTTTAAAATGGAACAAAAGCAATCTTCTACTCTTTTCATTGTCCTGTACAGGCCACCACAGTCATGTTGCGATTTTATTGACCATTTTACTGAACTACTTTCATTCGTGTGCACAGATTTTGATAGTTTAGTTATTACAGGTGATTTTAATGTACATGTTGATAATGTTGATGACAGAAATGCAAAGGAGCTGGCTTCTGTACTTGAGACCTTTGGTTTCATTCAGCACGTGAGTGGCCCCACCCACAGCAGGGGGCACACTCTTGACCTGCTAATTACAAAGGGGGTTAATGTATCAAATGTTAATGTAGTTGATGTTGCTTTGTCAGATCATTTCTGTGTATTTTTTGACATGTGTTTTGCTAGCAAACCACCAGCTGAATTTACAATTGCTAGAAGAAGACACATACATGAAAACACAGGTGAACTGTTCATGGGAATGCTAAATTTTGAGAAAACTCCATGCTCTACTGTTGATGAATTGTATAACTCTGTCACCACCAGTGTTCTGAATGTTCTGGACGCCATTGCTCCTGTGACGGTTAAAATAGTTACCAGTAAGAAAAAGGCCCCATGGACTAAGGCAGACTCGGTCAGGGCACAGAAGCAAGAGTGCCGGAGGGCCGAACGGAAGTGGCGAAAGTCCAATTTCCAGGGCGATTATGAAATCTTTAAAGATGAGTTGGGTGAATTTAACCGGGTTCTACGAAGAACAAGAGAAATGTATTTTTCTGACATTATTGGAGGTTGCAGTAACAATTTTCGTGTTATGTTTTCAACAGTTGGTAGATTAACGAACCCCCCTGTAAAGTTGCCCCTAGAATTTTCCTCTAAATCTAGGTGTAATGAGTTCGCACAGTTTTTTCGATGACAAAGTACAAGGAATCAAAAACACTATCACCTCCACAGCACGTATAACAATGCAACAGCCAGAGAAGCTTTTTGAGCTAACTCACTTTGCACCTGTGGATACTGAAACTGTCAAAAAGATAATCATGAGTCTGAGCTCCTCCACATGTAGCCTGGATATATTGCCCTCTAAATTTCTGAAGTCCGTCCTGAGCAGTTTGTTACCTTCACTGACACAAATAGTAAACATGTCTCTGTCGTCAGGAACATTTCCTATGGCCCTAAAAACAGCAGTCATAAGACCTCTCCTAAAAAAGAGCAGTCTGGATCCTGCGGGACTTCAAAATTATCGCCCCATATCGAATCTGCCATTCATTGGAAAAATTCTTGAAAAAGTGGCCTCCCAACAACTTACTGAATTTTTAACAATGAATAATTCTTTTGATATGTTCCAGTCTGGGTTTAGACCCCACCACAGCACTGAGACCGCTCTAGTGAAGGTAACAAACGACATTCGACTTCACACTGATGCAGGTAAAGTCACAGTTTTGGTCATGTTAGATCTTAGTGCCGCGTTCGACACTGTCGACCATGAGATCCTCATGCAGAGACTGGAGGACTGGGTTGGTGTCACTGGCACAGCCCTAGACTGGTTTAGGTCTTACCTGGAGGATAGGAAGTACTTTGTGGAGATTGGAGACTGCGTCTCAGATCATGTGGCCCTGACCTGTGGAGTACCACAGGGGTCGATCCTGGGACCTCTCCTATTTAATCTCTACATGCTGCCGTTAGGTCAGTTAATACAAAGAAACAAAGTGTCCTACCACAATTACGCCGACGACACTCAGATCTATGTCTCACTGACTGCAGGAGAACATGGACCACTGGATTTGCTCCTTCACTGTATCCAACAGATCAGTGAGTGGATGCAAAATAATTTCCTCCAGCTAAATGCAGACAAAACCGAAATCATTGTCTTTGGTCCCCAGAAACAAAGAGAGGGCGTCATCTGTCAACTTCAGTCTCTCTCCCTACTTCCTTCAGACAAGGTCAGAAATTTGGGGGTAATACTGGACTCAGACCTAAATTTCAATAGCCACATAAAATCAATAACATCAACAGCTTTTTACCATCTGAAGAACATTGCCAAAGTCAGAAATATAGTGTCCAGGGCAGACTTGGAGATTCTTGTCCACGCATTTGTCTCCAGCAGGCTAGACTACTGCAATGGCCTGCTTACAGGTCTGTCCAAACAGACCTGTAAGCAGCTGCAGTACATCCAAAATGCAGCAGCTAGAGTCCTGACAGGAACCAGGAAGTATGACCATATTAGTCCGGTCCTCAGGTCTCTGCACTGGCTTCCTGTGGCTCAAAGAATAGATTTTAAAACAGCTCTGCTTGTGTACAAGTCTCTCCATGGCCTTGCACCAGAATACATTAGTGACATGTTGGTGTCATATGAACCAGCCCGGACTCTGAGGAGCACAGGGACTGGCCTCCTGCTGGTGCCCAGAGTGAGAACCAAACATGGGGAGGCTGCGTTTCAGATCTATGCAGCTAAGATCTGGAACAATCTCCCTGAAAATGTGAGGGAGGTGTCTACTCTGTCAATGTTTAAATCCAGGTTAAAGACTGTTCTGTTTGCCTGTGCATACAACTGAAGGATTTTATCTCCATTTGTAATGCACTGCTGTCATTTATTTATTTTATTTTTTTTAAATTTCTTGTGTAACTTTGAAAGTGTTAATGGTTTTATTCTTTTGTGTGATTTTATTGTTTTTATTGTGTTTTAATCTTTTGTGTGATTTTAATGTTTTAATTGTGATTCTGGTGTTTGTTTTATGTGATGATTTGTGATGTGGACTGTGAAGCGCTTTGTGTTGCCCTGTGCATGAAAGGCGCTCTACAAATAAACTTTGATTGATTGATTGATTGATAGACTCAAATAGAAATCCACCAAATGGATGAAGAAACCATTAAAGGGTTAACTAAAATGTCTTGTCCAAACTACCAATGATTTATAAAGGAAACTCTTTCATACCACCTGAAGGCTCCCGTACCCTCTTTCTCACACAGATGTTAGAGATCACAGAGGTTTCTCACTTTTCTCACACTTGGTTTTTAGAGTTGTTCCTCTGATGCAGGAGGCTCTAAGGACAGTGATGATCCAGGACACTCCATATTCAACATTTATGGACGTTGGTCTCTGTGTGTTTTTATCACTGCATTTCTTGTGTTTTCTTATCTGCGTCGGAGAACAACAGTTTTTTTGAGGTAACTACTGTTGTGATTTAGGACGATACAAGTAGTAAGTAACACAGACCTATTGTACATGTTTTTAGTGGTAGGGGAAACCAGAGCACCCGGAGGAAGCCTAAGCAGACACGGGGAGAACATGCAAACTCCACTCAGAAAGGCCCTGTTTCGACCGGGATTCAAACCCACGACCTTAATGCTGAGAAGTGAGAGAGTAATCCACTCAGCCACCGTGCCCACAAGAATAAATTCGACAGAGGCATTTTGTTACCGCTTAGATGGAAATATAAATAAAATGTCACTTTTTCTCATGCTGGGGTCAAGTCAGAAAAAAATCCCATTTAGACTTGAAACAATCTCATTTAGGTTTTTTTTGTTATATCTACTTTTAAACCCGACGACAACACTTGGGGGAAGAGTGGATTTGCAATACGTAATGCCAAAGAAATATCCTCACGTTCTGCTCAAGGCCCAAACTGAACCCAAATGTGTCACACGTGTCCTTAATGACTTCCTTGTGTGTGATTGGAGGCTGGGGGAGGGGCCAGGCCGGCTGACCACTCACGTGTGCAGAGGAGATGAAGAGCAGAGATGATGGACGGTGAGTCACACTGGGACGTCTGAGAGCCCTGTGAGAGGGGACCAGAGGGGAGGAGGGGACCGGGGAGGAGGGGACCAGGGGGGAGGGGACCAGGGGGGAGGAGGGGGCCAGGGGAGAGGAGGGGAGCAGGTGTCCAGGGGAGAGCATATGGAAAACAATCCCAGTAAACCCACCCTGACACACACTGCAGGTCAGATCCAGCTTCCTATTCTTAAAGAGGTGCATGTGCGTGTGTGTAATGTGTGTGTGCAGTGTGTGGGCGGTGAAAGGTCGATGAGTAAGCCCCTCTCCTCTCGTCAGCAGCAGCCTCCACTCCTGATGAACAGACAGTAGTCTTCACACTGAGGACGAACACTTGTATACATTTAAACCATATATACACAAATTACACATATACTTACTTACATACATACTGTACATTATATATATATATATATATACATACTGTACATTATATATATATCCTTATATTTATATGATGAACAGTTGTTGCCATAGTAACTGTAACAGCTGGATTAAATTAACTGTCAATTAGGTGATATGGCGTTTTTGCCCAGTTCAGTGAAGTCAATGAACTTGTGTTTCTCACTTAGATTCATGGGACCATGGTTTAAGCGGATTAAATACACACACACACACACACACGCATACACACACACACACCCACACCCACACACACACACACACAATTGATTCCACCACAGTGTTTGAAAATGTTCTTGTAGAAACCTTTGAGGGTTTGACTTTTCTCTCTGTAATGAATCCCTTTGATCTTAATGAACAGGACGAGTCTCATAAAAGTGACATGTTGGAACCAAATGAGACCTCAACATTTCATCTTCATTTGAAAACATCTTTTACACACCAGTGAGAACAAGTGTCTCCGTCACTGTTTGACTCTTTTTGAGCTGATCTCTCTTTTCACTTTAACATCTGAAGAAGTGACAGAGGCCAGAGAACATTTCTCTTTTATAATCAGCCTCAAGACACATCCTTTTAGATTCACTTTTGATTGTGATTATAAATAATAAATACTAATTTATTTGTATGTGGTTTGGGGTAGTTCTGTTGTGTGGTCGAGAGGAGGGGTAATGGTCACGTGATAGTTTTAAATCAAACTGTAAAGCACTGGCATTTCTTGTATGAAAAGCACTTTATAAAACAATTGGACTGATCGAGAAATATATGCATGTGGAAGTATAAAACCAAACTGTCTTGAGAGCACAGTTTCTCCAGCTGTGATTGGAGGAGGAGCAGAGCACAGCTGTGATTGGAGGAGGAGCAGAGCACAGCTGTGATTGGAGGAGGAGCAGAGCACAGCTGTGATTGGAGGAGGAGGGCCATGTGTGCTGCTGTATAATTTAACTGTTGTGACACCGTGGCACCTGCAACACTCACTCCCTGATCAAATATTCACATGTTAAACAGCAGCATGAAATATTGAGCTGTGTGACAGCTGTACGACAAGTCCTTCTGGAGACCGGTCCTTCTGGAGACCAGTTATTTTTGAGACCAGTCCTTCTGAAGACCACACACTTTCTGGTCTTCACACAGCCAGTAGTTGGACACATTGACATAAAAGCCCTGTTGCCACCAGCCTTACTTGGCTCTGCTTTCATTGAGAGCATTTACCAGTACCAGGTCCTTCTTTAGTCCCTCTTGGTCCTGGTTCTATCCAGGCCAAGCTGGTACTAAAGTGTTGTAAGTGACAGTGATTGGCCAGAGTGCTGCTGGAAGCCATGGTTACCAAGGAAATTCCCTGGATACAAGCTACCGTATCTTAGCAACCTTTATACTTCTGTAGGTAGGTTGCTAGCATACGGTACCAGGTAGAGTAGAGTAGAGCTGGAGGAACCTTATATTTTGTTGTGTTTTTTGTTCCAACATCACTGTCGCGCACAAACCAAGACCTCAGTGACTCTGTGAGTCTGTTTCCTGGGGAGACCAGTTACAGGTTCTGTTACAGGTTCTCTTGCCTCTCAGCAAGAAGGTCCTGGGTTCGAATCCTGGTTGGACCAGGGCCATTCTGAGAGGAGTTTGCATGTTCTCCCCGTGTCTGCATAGGTTTCCTCCGGTTTCCCCTACCACTAAAAACATGCACAATAGATCTGGCATGTGCCTCCTGTACTGGCAACCCTGCTCTGTGTGGAGTGAGAGGACAAATGCCCAAAAATAACAATTGTAACCGCTTTGAGACTCTGATCTGCAGTGAAAAGGCAGTATATAAATAAAGATACTAATAAACAGTTTGTCCGGTAACATAGATTTTAGTTTACAATGGAAGAGGTCATTCATACATCTAATGAATCAGAATCAGAATCAGAATCATTTTTATTGCCAACGTAAGTAACGGGAGGTCACAGACTTGGAAATTGCTTTGGCTCAGTGCAACAGTCAAAAAGAGATAATAAAAATAAGAATAAAAAACACTTCTAAAGAATAAATTTAAATTTAAAATAGAGTTACAGTTACTATTTACAATATACAAGTGCACATGGTGCACACAATGTAAGGTGACAGCAGTACAGTGAAGTAAAGTGACGTATGATGGGCAGTAAAGTGACTAGTGACGTATGATGGGCAGTAAAGTGACTACCACTTTACCATTTGTTTGTATGTGTGACAATGTAAATAGACCTCACTGCTGTGGCCAGCAGGTCCATGACCTCTGCATCCCTAACTCCCCCCCCCCACAGTGGTTCAGTTGTGGAGCATTGGCCTTTGAGCCTGAAGGTCATGGGTTCGAGCCACACACAAGACTTTCTCCACCGACTCCCACTGATGTCTGCTGTTGTTATGTCCTTGGGCAAGACACTTATCCCTACTTTGCCTATATGTTGCCATACTTGCATGCAAATGCAGATCCCGTCAGACCTCTGAAGCTGTGCAGGGCAGGGCCTGGTTAGTACTATGATGGGAGACCTCTGGGAACATCAGGTGCCACAGTGGGGTGACTGCCAAATCACAGTTGTGTCCTTAGGAAAGACACTTCACCCCCATTGCCTAGAATGAGTCTGGTGTGTGTGTGTGTGTGTGTGTGTATGGTTGGTGGTGGTCGGAGGTGCCGATGGCACATACTGGTTGCCTCGCTTCTGTCAGTGTTCCCCAGGGCAGCTGTGGCTACAGTTGTAGTTTATCACCACTGTGTATGGAGTGAATAATAACATGTGAAGCGTCTTTGAGTGTCCAGAAAAGTGCTATATAAAACCTATCCATTATTATTATTTCTAAACTGTTCAAACCAGAGCCCACTCTGCAGCAGCTCACCCACAGAAAGCCTCTCATGTGTCCTCCCAAGGCTTTTGTCAGAGTTGCAGTTTTCTACAAGAAAAGACTGTGTTTCTGAGACGCAGACCCTCTTGTGACGTAGAGTCAGTTTGACTGTTTGACTCAGTGAGTCAGATTGACTGTTTGAGACGGCTCTGTCAGTGGAGGCGAAAGGTATGTCGTGGTGAGATTTATCCAAGATCCGCCTTGAGGACATGTTTGGTACTGTGAGACCAGAACAGCTGCAGTCGGTACCACCTACATGTGAACTGCACTACATCTCTATTGGAATGTTGTTTAAGTTATCATTTTAACAAGTCATATACATAAAGATATAAAAATTAATTTTTTTGTCAAGAATCAACAACAAGTAGGAAACAATCGAGAAGTGGAACAAAATTTATTGGATAATTTAAACTTTTTTAACAAATATAAAACTGAAAAGTGGGGCGTGCAATATTATTCGGCCCCCTTGCGCTAACACTTTGTAGCGCCACCTTTTGCTGCAATTACAGCTGCAAGTCGCTTGGGGTATGTCTCTATCAGTTTTGCACATCGAGAGACTGGAATTCTTGCCCATTCTTCCTTGCAAAACAGCTCGAGCTCAGTGAGGTTGGATGGAGAGCGTTTGTGAACAGCAGTCTTAAGCTCTTTCCACAGATTCTCGATTGGATTCAGGTCTGGACTTTGACTTGGCCATTCTAACACCTGGATACGTCTATTTGTGAACCATTCCATTGTAGATTTGGCTTTATGTTTTGGATCATTGTCCTGTTGGAAGATAAATCTCCGTCCCAGTCTCAGGTCTTTTGCAGACTCCAACAGGTTTTCTTCCAGAATGGTCCTGTATTTGGCTCCATCCATCTTCCCATCAATTTTAGCCATCTTCCCTGTCCCTGCTGAAGAAAAGCAGGCCCAAAGCATGATGCTGCCACCACCATGTTTGACAGTGGGGATGGTGTGATCAGGGTGATGAGCTGTGTTGCTTTTACGACAAACATATCGTTTTGCATTGTGGCCAAAAAGTTTGATTTTGGTTTCATCTGACCAGAGCACCTTCTTCCACATGTTTGGTGTGTCTCCCAGGTGGCTTGTGGCAAACTTTAAACAAGACTTTTTATGGATATCTTTGAGAAATGGCTTTCTTCTTGCCACTCTTCCATAAAGGCCAGGTTTGTGCAGTGCACGACTGATTGTTGTCCTATGGACAGACTCTCCCACCTCAGCTGTAGTTATCTGCAGTTCATCCAGAGTGATCATGGGCCTCTTGGCTGCATCTCTGATCAGTCTTCTCCTTATTTGAGATGAAAGTTTGGAGGGACGGCCGGGTCTTGGTAGATTTGCAGTGGTCTGATACTCCTTCCATTTCAATATAATTGCTTGCACAGTGCTCCTTGAGATGTTTAAAGCTTGGGAAATCTTTTTGTATCCAAATCCGGCTTTAAACTTCTCCACAAGAGTATCTCGGACCTGCCTGGTGTGTTCCTTTGTCTTCATGGTTCTCTCTGCGCTTTAAACAGAACCCTGAGACTATCAAAGAGCAGGTGCATTTATACGGAGACTTGATTACACACAGGTGCATTCTATTTATCATCATCAGTCATTTAGGACAACATTGGATCATTCAAAGATCCTCACTGAACTTCTGGACTGAGTTTGCTGCACTGAAAGTAAAGGGGCTGAATAATATTTGTTAAAAAAGTTTGAATTAGCCAATACATTTTGTTCCACTTCACGATTGTGTCCCACTTGTTGTTGATTCATGACAAAAAATTAAAATTTTATGTCTTTATGTTTGAAGCCTAAAATGTGGCCAAATGTTGAAAGGTTCAAGGGGGCCAAATACTTTCGCAAGGCACTGTATGTGGCTAAAATGGTGG